ATAGGTCACATGACCTGGAAGCTATTGAGCTAAAATGCTAATATTTAAAGCTTTTCCAGGTGGAAGCTTTTAAAAAGGGATTCAAAACCCATCTTTTTACTAAAGCGTACTGCTAATTTTTTATAGTCTTTTATCTGATTTTATGTGTTTGCTTTTATTTATGCTCCTGTTTGTAGCACTTTGAGATTTGATGTCAAATATAAAGTGCATTATAAATAAAATGTATTATTATTATTATCATTATTATATTTGCCTTAAAAAATTCATTAAAAATTCTTTAAAAAACTTAAATGACAAAATAAGAGGTGTACCCCCTGTATCTAGTGGATGACTATGATCCTAAACTGATTTGGAGTCAATAGGTCACATGACCTGGAAGCTATTGAGCTAAAATGCTAATATTTGCCTTTATAAAATCATTAAAAATACTTACAAAAACTTAAATGAGAAAAGAAGAGGTGTACCCCCTGCAGCTAGTGGAGGGCTATGATCCTGAACTGATTTGGAGTCAATAGGTCACATGACCTGGAAGCTATTGAGCTAAAATGCTAATATTTACATATAAAAATTCATTAAAAATACTTAAAAAAAATTAAATGACAAAATAAGAGGTGTACCCTTTGCAGCTAGGGCAGGACTATGATCCTGACCTGATTTGGAGTCAATAGGTCACATGACCTGGAAGCTATTGAGCTAAAATGCTAATATTTGCCTTTAAAAATTCATTAAAAATACTTAAAACATTTTAATGATAAAAGAAGAGGTGTACCCCCTGCAGCTAGTGGAGGACTATGATCCTGACCTGATTTGGAGTCAATAGGTCACATGACCTGGAAGCTATTGAGCTAAAATGCTAATATTTGCCTTTAAAAATTCATTAAAAATTCTTAAAAAAACTTAAATGACAAAAAAGAGGTGTACCCCTTGCAGCTAGTGGAGGACTATGATCCTGACCTGATTTGGAGTCAATAGGTCACATGACCTGGAAGCTATTGAGCTAAAATGCTAATATTTCCATTTAAAAATTCATTAAAAATACTTAAAAAAAACTTAAATGACAAAAGAAGAGGTGTACCCCCTGCAGCTAGTGGAGGACTATGATCCTGACCTGATTTGGAGTCAATAGGTCACATGACCTGGAAGCTATTGAGCTAAAATGCTAATATTTACATATAAAAATTCATTAAAAATACTTAAAACACTTTAATGATCAAAGAAGAGGTGTACCCCCTGCAGCTAGTGGAGGACTATGATCCTGACCTGATTTGGAGTCAATAGGTCACATGACCTGGAAGCTATTGAGCTAAAATGCTAATATTTACATGTAAAAATTCATTAAAAATACTTAAAACACTTTAATGATAAAAGAAGAGGTGTACCCCCTGCAGCTAGTGGAGGACTATGATCCTGACCTGATTTGGAGTCAATAGGTCACATGACCTGGAAGCTATTGAGCTAAAATGCTAATATTTGCCTTTAAAAATTCATTAAAAATACTTTAAAATACTTAAATGACTCAAAAAGAGGTGTACCCCCTACAGCTAGGGGAGGACTATGATCCTGTCCTGATTTCGAGTCAATTGATCACATGACCTGGAAGCTATTGAGCTAAAATGCTAATATTTACATATAAAAATTCATTAAAAATACTTTTAAAAAACTTAAATGACAAAAGAAGAGGTGTACCCCCTACAGCTAGGGGAGGAATATGATCCTGACTTTTAATACAGTACAGTTTTATTACATCGGTTTTAAATTTGTTGCATTGGCTTCCCGTGTGTTTCAGGATCAATTTTTAGGTTCTTTCACTGGTTTTTTTCATGTCTTCATGGTCTTGGGCCTTCTTATTACTCATAACTGCTTTTATCCAAAGAACCATCCCGGTTCTTGCAGCAGACTCCTCCATTACCAAAGCCAGGACACACACTCAAGCTGAGGCATATGTAAGTGAGTAAGTAATGTTTATTTATATAGCGCATTTTACAGACCAAGGTCACCCAAAGCGCTTTACGTCCATCACTACGGCCCCGTCTCTGGAACAGTCTGCTGGAGGAGCTTGACTAGCACCCTCCTGTCCCTCACCTCCTCCACAGAGTCCAGGGGGCTGTCCCGTTCTGTGCTGCCCGGGGCCCAGCACACGGCAGCGTAGTGTATGGCAGAGCCTACCACAGAGTCATAAAAGGTCCTGAGCAGAGGCCTGCTCACTCCGAAGGACCTCAGCCTCCTCAGAAGGACCTCAGCCTCCTCAGAAGGACCTCAGCCTCCTCAGAAGGACCTCAGCCTCCTCAGAAGGACCGCAGCCTCCTCAGAAGGAAGAGGCGACTTTGGCCCTTCTTGTGCAGAGCGTTGGTGGTATGGGACCAGTCCAGTTTATTGTTTATGTGAACACCCAGGTACTTGAAGCTGTCCACCAGCTCAATGTCCTCCCCCTGGATGTTCAGCAGCGTGTGGGAAAGTGGTTTTTATCCTGAAGTCGATTACCATCTCCTTGGTCTTACTGGTGTTAGCACAGGTACCATCTCCTTGGTCTTACTGGTGTTAGCACAGGTACCATCTCCTTGGTCTTACTGGTGTTCAAGCACAAGTGGTTGCACTCACACCAGTCGACAAAGTCCTTGATAACCGACCCATATTCCAGTTCGTTCCCCTCAGACACACAGCCCACGATGGCGGAGTCGTCGGAGAACTTCTGCAGGTGACAGCTGTGTGTGTCGTGTGTGAAGTCTGAGGTGTAGATGGTGAAGAGAAACGGTGAGAGGACAGTGCCCTGAGGGGCCCCAGTGCTGCAGACTACCACCTCAGACTCACAGCTGCGCAGCCGCACGTACTGTGGTCGGTCTGAGAGGTAGTTGATGGTCCATGCAGTGAGGTAGTCGATGGTCCATGCGGTGAGGTAGTTGATGGTCCATGCAGTGAGGCTACTGTCCACTCTTGCGTCCTCCAACTTCCCCCGCAGCAGCGCCGGTCTGATGGTGTTGAAAGCACTGGAAAAGTCGAAGAACATGACCCTCACAGCGCTCCCTGCAGGCTCCAGGTGGGAGAGCGTCCGCTGCAGTAAGTAAATGACGGCGTCCTCTACTCCGATGTTGGGCCTGTAGGCGAACTGCAGCGGGTCCAGGGTGGGGCTGACCACAGAGCGGAGGTGGGTGAGGATGAGCCGCTCCATGGTCTTCATCAGGTGGGAGGTCAGTGGGAGGTGAGTGCGACTAAACCTGTAGTGAGCCGGTTCCTTGGCGTGCGCTGTTTTAGGAACCTAGGATCACACAGGAGGTCTCCAACAGGACGAGGGACCTTCTCCAGGCTGAGGCACAATGTACATGTAGCTGAGGACCTCAGAGAGGACCTCAGAGAGCTGGTCTGCACAGGTCCTCAGCATTACGCTTTGGCACACACAGTAACACGTTCTCTCAGAACGGTGGCAGACAAGACACTAACTCAAGCCGCCCCGCACAGAAGGAGCAGGCTGGCTTTGAGGGCTGGGACTGGGGGGGGGGGGGGGGGGGGTGTACTGTCAGAGGTGGGGGCTGGGGGTGTGGGGGCAGGACGGCCCGGGGCAGCCGAAGGCAGTGTCCACTGGGCTGGGTACGTGTGAAGAGGTGGGGGAGGGAGGGGGGGAGATGGGGAGGGGGGAGAATCAAACCGGTTAAAGTACTGGTTAAATTCATCCGCCCGGTGCTGGTGTTAGTATTAGATAGCAATATGGCCTACGTGCAGGACTGTACAAGGACTCTACAAGGACTCCATGTTATGACTATGATGTGACTGTCTCTTTGTGACACGTATG